AATTTTCTTTTATTTTTACGAATTTAATATCTACGCTTTATCCGATACGATGAAGGATTGAATTTGTTTAAATTACAGTAAGAAACGAAATAAACTCTTCCAACGATTTCTACAGCGTCAATTTTAATAATTATCGGATCAGGAAGATTTACTTCGATCGAAAATAATTGCTTAACAAACGGTGAATTAATCTGGAGTACAATGTCAATCATATTGAACCTGATAACTCATAACCCTTATTCTTAAAATATTATTCAAATAATTCTCCCTCATATTTTCTCTTTTCAAGAAGTTTCCACGTTCCGTGAAAAGTGAACGTTCGAGAAACGAACAAAATTTCGCTACTTACTTTTATCTCGTCGAATAATCCTCCTCCTGATCCACCACGGTGGATCAAACGACACCTGTCCTCGAATACTCGTTTCCGCGTGTGGATGAGGGAGAAAAAGAAAAAGAAAGGAAGGAAAGTGAAGTAAATCGTGCCAGATATCCGAACGATGGTATTTACACGGGTAGACTGCACGGCGACGACCTCCAACCAAACCGGCCGATCTGCTTGAGATACGCAGCATTTTTACGAACGTGCGTTCTTAAATCGACGATAACTATCCTTTCGAGAAGGGATGATTAGCTGAATTATATTAAGTTTTGGAAAATCAGTCGAAATTTAACGAGAGATGTTGAGGTGTTACGTAAAGTAAAGTAAAATATTTTTGGATTTGGAGAAGAAATTGGAAGAGCAGCGTTTTGTTTTTGGCTGATTTATCGTTAAGTTGGTTAAACTTTGTTAAAAATAGAGAACGACGGGGATGGGAGCAACAATAAACGAATGATTGGATCCGAGAGAAATTTGCACGTTTTCGAGATTTATATTTATAAAAAGATAAACTTGAAATAAAATTTCGATTTAAATTAACGAGATCTCGGATTTCTCGATATTTTTATCAACGCTGATGCGATAAAATTACCTTTCTCTCTGAAAATCGTCTGAAAAAATCGGTGACAAAAAAAAAAAAAAGAAAACTACAAATATTCTTCTATCTCGAAATTCGTTTCACAAATAGATCGATCGATCGATAACTTCTCAACTTGCAAAAATATCCACAAGTATTCGAGTACTCCATTCCCTTTAAGTAATATTTCCCCCACGAGGGGGATATACACGACCGGTTGAAAATTTTAATTCCCCATACGTGTTCGTCCCCTCCCCCCCTCCCCCCCTCCCCCCCCCGCGCGCGCTCTTTACAATTCCTCTCTAATCCCTTACTCGCATGGTAAACGCGTGGGCCGTGAATCCATCGCGAATCGCTCAACGCGTGTTAATGCGGCGCCACGGATAGTTTCCCTGCTAAGGTGCCTAGAAGAAACTCGTTAGTCCGCTTAGGGAATACTTAACACGTTCCTCCAACGTGGTGGAGAAAATTGAAATCGCGCGGCGTGACAGAGACTTGTGCTCGCGATTACGCGAATCTGTGAAAACCTGTGGTGAGAGAGAGAGAGAGAGAGAGAGAGAGAGAGAGAGAGAGAGAGAGAGAGAGAGAGAGAGAGAGAGAGAGAGAGAGAGAGAGAGAGAGAGAGAGAGAGAGAGAGAGAG